ACCGCGATTGACCTCACACCACATACATGCGACCTCGCGGTCGACTCCAATCGATTGATACCATTACCAGTTTCACGCTCAATCTCATTATCAATATCAGTATCGATCTGACAATCGATCTCACTATCGATCGGAATATCGGCTTCACAAATTATGCATGTAAATATATGTTTATATATATATATATATATGCATCGATAACTCTCGATATTACTACCTACCTCTCGACAGATCGTACTAACGATCTCACAGCGAGCGGCGTTCAGCACGATGGGAACACGACTGGGGCTAGATCGGGAAATCATCAGACGCTACGGGCCAGTTAATGCCACCACCAAAATTGCGACCCACCGTACTCGGCACTGCTGGCAGAGCCTGGCAGCGAGGCAGGACTTGCGAACTGGCGCGCGCCACCCACAAACATATCGAAGAGGCGAAAGAAGAGATCATGCGTAAAGCTTGCTCGGGCCACCCAACTGCGGTTGTTGCAATGTGTGGAGTGCTCACTGGAGCGAGGACGAAAATGACCCATGGATAGTGAGATCTGTTGTGATCGATCTCGCTATCGATCTCACTATCGATATCGCAATCGATATCACTATCGATCTCACTGTCGATCTCGCACCAAATCTCACTGTCGATCCCACAACTAATTTCACAATCGATCTCACCATCGATCTCACTACCACTCTCGGCATCGATCGCACAATCGATTAAAATCTCGACATCACCATCGATCTCAAAATCGGTCTCAGAAGAGATCTCACCATCGACCTCACAAGAGATCTCACGACACACCATCGAGACGCCACGATGGGGCACCCCCAGCCACGGCGGGGCACCCCCAGCCAAAAATTTGTTGTGACCGATCCCACTATCGATCTCACTATCGATCTCTTGATCTCACGATCGATATCACCATCACGATCGATCACGCAATCGATCTCACTATAGATCTCACAACCGATCCCACTAGCTACCATCGAGACACCACGGCGGGACAGCCGGAGCCACCGTCGGGACACCCCGCGCCACGGACGGGGCACCCCGCGCCACCGACGGGGCACCTCCGCGCCACCGACGGGGCACCCCAGGCACCGGCGCGCTCGGGGTGGGGGGGGCGGTCAAACGGCTCCACGGCCCCTAGCCACAGCGGCATCATTCTCTCGCGCGCCCGCGCAGCTTCGCCTCGCCCGCACGCACGACACGAAACCGAAACGGATTTCCAGGTGGGGCTCTCCGTTCCACTGCAATCTCACCCCCAGCCTCTGACATAAAAAAAACAAACAAAAAAAAAAAAAAAAAACTCCTGGGGCCTCCTGGAGCCTCCTGGGGGCAGGAGGGCCGAAAAACACTCCCCAGCGTCTTGGTGCCTCCTGGGGCCTCCGCAAGTGGCGGCAAGACTGTAACGGATTCCCCCGTGCTGCAGGTTTACAAGGAAATCTCAAGCGAAACGGCCGTTCCGTCATCCGCGAGTAGCAGCAAGAATGCTCTGAAGGACTCCATGTGGTGCCGAATTGCATCACAAGACTCCAGCGAAAAGGCCGTTCGGGCACCCGCGAGTAGCAGCAACCTGGTTCTGAAGGACCCCCCGGTGGTGCCAAACCGCTTGGAAATATTACGCGAAACGGCCGTTCTGGCATCCGCAAGGAGCGGCAAGACTGCTCTGAAAGACCCCCCATGTGATGCTCAATTGCAAAGACGTCTCAAGCGAAACGGCCGTTCTCGCATCCGCAAGTAGCAGCAAGACTGCTATGAAGGACCCCCTTATGAAGGACCCTCTCTGTGGTGCTGAACTGCGAGGAAGTATCAAGCAAGAGCGCTCTTCCTGAGGTTCGGGCCCTCTCTGGCCAGGGCCTCTCGGAGCAAATTGTGAGGAAGTATCGCACGGGAGCGTTGTTGTTGCTGTTTGGTGCGTTCGAAGACGAAGAGCGCGGGTTTCGAAGGTTTGGGATCTACGTGTTGAGTAGCCCGCGAGCAGGCAGGAGCGGACAGTCTTAAAATGATTGTTGTTGTTGCTGCTGCTGTTGTTGGTGTTGGTGTTGTTGTCTGGTTCTGCCACATGATTCCTGCTCCGAGCCCCCCTCATGCTAATTTCTCTCGTGTTCCATCCTCCTCCCTCCCCCTTGTCCGTTCCTTCCATCCGTCCTCTCTTCCCCTGCCTGAAGGGCTGCGCGAAATACACGTTGCAGGTATGAAAGATATACCCCCAAGGGGTGCGATCGAAGACGAAGAGGGCGGGCATCGAGGGTTTCAGATCTACGTGTTCAATGGCACGCGAACAGATATGAGCGAACAGCCTTAAAATGACTGTTGATGGTGGTGGTGTTGCTTTTGAACTCTCACGACTGCAGAATAGCTATGATTGATCCCCCCTCCGGCGCACATGGTGTTTTTCAATTGATGTGCCCTCCCCGGGGCTCGCACCCTGTCTTCATCAGGGAAACTCCTGGGTTTTAGAATTGTCCTTGGCCCCCGATTTACCACAACAGCAACAACAATCATTCCAAGACTGTGCGCTCCTACTGGCCCGCGTGTCATTCACTATGCGTATCCCAAACCCTGGATACCCGCCCTCTGCGTCTTCGATCGTACCCCATTTTGGGGGGTTATATTCCACACTGGGCGCGTCTGAGGCGGGAGCCGTTGTTGTTATAGCCGGGGGCCCAGGGGCACAATTTGGCCCGGTGACTTTCCCTGGCAAATAAACAGGGTGCGAGCGTCGAGGGGCGCACATTGACTCAGAAATAACAATACGCACCGGTGGGGGGGACCAACAGAAATCATTCTTCAGGAATTAAAAACTCAACATCAGCTGACGTGCGAGGGAGAGGGAATCGGAAGGAGGGGGGAGGCGGCCCGGGAGGAGGGAGGAGCAGGAAGATAAGAGTGCGAACGTTCGAAGAAGTCCTAGGCGAAAGCGCCATTCCACAAGGAAGTCTCGGGCGGCAGCCCACGACGGGCGGGCGATCCTCTGACGGGTGGGTCGGGCGGGTGGGGCATTCAAGCGGGATGCCTGGGTAGGGCGAGAGCGCGATTCCTAAGTAAAGTGTGACGGCTTCCTTGGCGCGAGCGTGGTGCCTGAGCGTAGATAGCGCGATTTCTGTATAAACTGCGAACAGTCATAGGCGAGAGCGCGATTCCTGAAAAGGGGATATGTGGGGGGAGCGGGGGTCTAGACTAAAGCGCAAGGAAATCTTAAGCGGGAGCGCCGTTCTTCAGTAAATTATGAGAAGGAAGCCCCCGACGGGAGGAGGGTCCCGACTAAATTGCGAGGAAGTTACAGGCGGGAGCGCCGATCCTGAGTAAATTGGGAGGAAGTCTCAGGCGGGAGCAGGGGTCCTGAGCAGTAAAGTTGGAGGAAGTCTCAGGCGGGAGCCGTTGTTGTTGTAGTCCGGGGGAGCAACAACGCAGTTTGATCCGGACTAAATTGCGAGGAAGTCTCAAGCGGGAGCGCCGTTCCTGAGTAAATTGGGAGGAAGTCTCAGACGGGGGGGGGTCCTGAGTAAATGTGGAGGAAGTCGCAAGCGGGAGCCGTTGTTGTTGCTGTCCGGGGGGCCAGGGGCACAGTTTGACCACCAAGACTTCCCCTATCAAAAAAAACAGGTGCGAGCGTCGAAGGGCACACTTTGACTGAGGAAGAACAATATGCACCGGTGAGGTGGGATAAACAATGAATATTCTACAAAAATGAAAACTCAACAACAACAACAATAACAACGACTCCCGCCTGATACTTCCTCACAAGTTATCCCCAGATCGCGCTCTCGCACAGGACCTCCTCACAATTTATTCAAGGATCGCGCGCTCGCGTACGGATTTCCTTGCAATTTGTTCAAACGCCGCACCCTCGACATTCAGGAGTCACGTTCTCGCTGTGGATTTCATTTCAATTTCTTTGGGAATCGCGCTGTCGCTCGAGATTTCCTCACAAGTTATCCCCAGATCGCGCTCTCGCACAGGACTTCCTCACAATTGATTCAGGGATCGCGCTCTCGCGTAGGATTTCAGTGCAAGTTGTTCAGGCGCCGCACCTTCGACATTCAGGAGTCACGCTCTCGCTATGGATTTCCTCACGATTGATTTGGGAATCGAGCGGTCGCTCGAGACTTCCTAGCGATTCATGCAGGACGCACGCTTGAGCAACCCGCCTCCTCGACCTGGCCGCCGGGGCCCTCCTTCCCGACCCGCCTGGTAGGGTCTACCCGCCCGATCTGCCCGTCTGGTTCTGCCAAGTGTTTTCTGCTCCTAGCCCGTGCTCCATCCTCCTCCCTCCCCCTTGTCCTTTCCTTCCATCCGTCATCTCTTCACCTGCCTCAGGGGCTGCGCGAAATATACGCTGCAGGTAACAAAAATATACCCCCAAGGGGGTACGGTCGAGGACGAAGAGGGCGGGTATCGAGGGTTTGGGATCTATATATGTTGAATGGCACGCGAACAGATACGAGCGAACAGTCTTAAAATGATTATAGTTGTTGATGGTGTCGTTGTTGGTGTTGTTGATGGTATTGTTGTTAATGTCGTTGTCGTCGTCGTTGTTGTTGTTATTGTTGGGGGCCGGTTGGGGCGGTAGCCCGAAACGCTTGAGCGTGATCCTCAATGCCAAAGGAAATGCAACCTGCGCCGAGGCGAGAGCGCCAAAGCGGGTATAGAGGGTCCAGTAACAACAATTGTTACATTGTTTGTATTAAACCATTAAAGAGCCACAATGAACTACAACCTGGCGGCTTCTTTGGGACTGCCTCCCATAGCCGCTGAAAGCAGATTTCTGTTGATTTCCGGTCACCCCGTTTACGGAGCTCGACGAGCCCGCACGTGCGCCCTGCGCTGGGCACGCTGTGAGCGCTCTCCGAAAGTGGGCCTGAGGTCTGGTCGACTCAGCAGTTCGGCCCCTGCTGGTGCACGCCTCTCTGGGCGAAGGTTTGGGACACCGAGCAGAAGAAGCGCAAGCTGGGCGCTGGGCAGAATAGAGAGAGAGAGAGAGCGCGAGGCGATTTGAGTCCTGTGCCCACACCTTGAAGGGGTCGAAGCCCAGGGTGTACTCGAAGCTCCACTCCTTGAACGCAAAGATGTTGTCGAAGAAGTCGTACGCGGTGAAGTCACCGCCGGTCCTGTCCTGAAAAGGAGCCAGTTTCGCCGCAGAGGAGCAGCTGGCGAGGATGGGGAGAACACAAGGAGAAAGCGAGGGAGGGGGACATACAACATACGTAATTAGAGGAAGAAAAAAACGGCATAAACAAAAATTTGCCTGACGAAGGACCCAACCACATGCAGCTGCGAGTACCGCGAGGGAAATCAAACGAAGGAGGGGGGCGCGCAAACTCATAGTAGCGCACGCGGCATAGCCCTCTGCCACGAAACGTGTGAAGGGAATGCCGACGTGAGTCGGGCGGACGTCGCCATTGGGGCCTTCCGTGGAGCTCCATATGGGGCCACGAAACGTGTGAGGGGGGTGCCAGAATGGGGCGGCGGTGCCATGCGAACTTTCCCACTGGGGCCTTAGGTGGAACTCCCCATGGGGACCACGAAACGTGTGAGCGGGGTGTCGAAATGGGGCGGCGGTGCCATGCGAACTTTCACACTGGGGCCTTAGGTGGAGCTCCCGATGGGGCCACGAAAGGTGTGAGGGTGTGCCGAAATGGAGCGGCGGTGCCATGAGAACTTTCCCACTGGGGCCTTAGGTGGAGCTCCGCTCCCCATGGGGAGCTCCGCTCCCCATGGGGCCACGAAAGGTGTGAGGGTGTGCCGAAATGCGGCGGCGGTGCCATGCGTGATTTCCCGCTGGGGCCTTAGGTGGAGCTCCCTATGGGGCCAAGAAACGTGTGAGGGTGTGCCGAAATGGAGCGGCGGTGCCATGCGAACTTTCACACTGGGGCATAAGGGGGGGCTCCCTATGGGGTCACGAAACGTGTGAGGGGGGGGCTGGAATGGGGCGGCGGTGCCATGCGAACTTTCCCGCTGGGGCCTTAGGTGGAGCTCCCCTATGGGGCCGCGAAACGTGTGAGGGTGTGCCGAAATGGGGCGGCGGTGCCACGAGAACTTTCCCACTGAGGCTTTAGGTGCAGCTCCCTAGAGGACCACGAAACGTGTGAGTGGTGTGCCAAAATGGGGCGGCGGTGCCATGCGAACTTTCCCACTGGGGCCTTCGGTGGAGCTCCTCATGAGACCACGAAACGTGTGAGAGGTTTCCGAAATGGGGCGGCGGTGCCGTGCGAACTTTCACACTGAGGCCTCAGGTGGCACTCCCTTTGGGGCCACGAAAGGTGTGAGGTGTGTGCCGAAATGGGGCAGCGGTGCCATGCGTAATTTCCCGCTGGGGCCTTAGGTGGAGCTCCCTCTGGGGCCGCGAAACGTGTGAGGGGTGTGCCGACATGGGATGAGCATGCGGAGAGACGAGGCAGGGATGGGAGGAGGGAGGAGGGGGCAGCGGGAGATGAGAAACGCGGGGCGCTCTCTTCAAAACGAGGACCCAACACCACAGGATGGTTGGGAATTTTTGGCGCTCCGCGGGGATTTCGTGGATCTGCGCTGGGACCCCCCTCACTGGCGCGCGGAGCGCGCCAGGGGCAGCGCTGGAAGCGCCGCCTGGGTGGCCCAGCGCGGATCCAAGAAATCCGCGCGAAGCGCCAAAAGTTTATGCTTTAAGGCGCTGTTTCGGGAGGAGGAGGAGGAGGAGGACGCCCACGACCACGAAGGGAGTGACCCAATTCACATGCAACAAAAACAAACGAGTTAGGAGGGGCCAAGGCAGCCGAAGAGGTCCTCCTCCTCCACGGGGAGTTCACCTCTGCAGCGCCTGGCCTCGACCTCGGCCCCTAGCTCCACGACTTCCGCCCTCGACAGGCCGAGCAGTGCGAGTCCTCGCACACGGTCTGCGGCGGGACCCCCGCCGCGCGAGGGCTGGGCCCCCCGAGCAACTCTCGGCGGGCGGTCGCGGCCCAGGGACCAGGCCTCGAAGTAGGGCCTCCACTCCGAGCGAACCTCAGGAGAGGGGGCCCCCGTGTACGCCATCGTGAGCCCTCGAGGATTCCGATGGGCAGGATACCGTCCAGCACGAAATCGGTCAAGGTAGAACCCCCGTCCCCACGACGCGACAGGACGACACCTCAACCGAAGATTCCCCCGTTTCGTGCTGGAATGTGCCATAGCACCACACGCCGTGCAGCACAGCATAGTATCGTGATACGTGCAGCCATCCGACTCATAAACCACGCCCTGTTCAAGGGAGTGTCCCAGCTGGAGCCAAGCTCCTGGGGTCGGGGGGTTCTCAGGAGGCGGCTCACCAGAGTTCGCACCAGGGGTGACGCCAGGGACCTCCCCCGCACCTGGCGCACCCAGAGGCACCTCGCACTCCGCACTTGGCTCACCCTCCCCAGGGTCCGAACCAGGAAGGGGGAGGCCAGGGACCGCGTCCAGGAGGACGTAGCTGAGCCATTCCAGCCCTTGATGGTCATTCAGGGCTAAGTCTCTGCATTCTACCTGCTGCCTGGCACTGTACAGCCCAACTCGTCGGACGAACTCAGCATATCCTGACACAAACAGGCGGTCCTCGCGCGCAACTCGGAATGGTTCAGCTCCTTCCTTGGCGAGTCTGTCCGCCTCCGAGTTCCCGAAACGCTGCATCTCCGTGATACGGCCGTCCCTGACATCCAACATTGACGAGTGAGACGGGATCTGATGCACCGCTACGCCTTCTAAACGGTCCCCAATCTCCGCCCACCAGTGGGCTCGGGCCGAGGCCGCTCCAGCAGCCCCCGAGAGGTTTCGGAGGCAGCCGACCGTGGCCGCACAGTCCACATGAAGCGAGACCCCTGAGGCGAGGACCGAGCGGCGGGAGAGCATCAGAACTGCAAAATCCTCGCCATCCCGTGCTAGTTGTCCAGGCGCTTCCCCGAACGGCACTACGCCAAAAAGGGCTGCGAGGGTCCTCCCGAGCCTGTCCAGCACCACAACAGCCCACCCCGCGGTCCCGAGTCCTGTGAGCTCCCCTTCAAAACCCGACCCGTCCGTGAACACATGGGCCCCCTCCGGAATGAAAAGGGGGCCGTCCTGAGGCCACTGAAAGTGCCTGGTGCACGGGTCCTGCGGGTCGCGGGGGGGTCGCTCCACCCAGGCCGCAGGGTTGGGGAAGAGACCTCTGCTAAAAAGTTCTCCAGCCGAAGTGGGGAGATGGCCAATCGCACGAGCCGCCCTCTCCACCACGGGATCCAGGTTCTCGCGTCGCCAGGGAGCGAATGCCACACACTGAAACCTGCGATGGTACAAAGTGCCCCTACCATCTCCACAAAGCTGGCATTGGTCAGGGGCTTCAGGACTGTGCTCGCACACTCTGTGCTGGCTCCAGTACACATTCGCACACAGAGCTGACAGGGCTGCCTTATGCGACTTCGTCCACGACTCTGAACACTTCCGCCCAAGGAGCTGATGAATTGGCTGCCAGAAGATTGGGCCGCTCCAGGTCCCGAAATCAAACTGTTTCAACTGCTCCTCCCGCTCTATAGTCCTGACGACCGAGCCACGCAGGAGAAGGGTGAAAAACTTGGGCGAAAACCGATCAATAGACCACACACGGTTGAGGTCATCAACCAGGGCCATTCGAGACAGGTCGAAACTCCAGCGGATCCGAGCCAGCTGCAGGAAAAGCGCAGCAACAGGCTGGCGGACTTGGCCCCAGGGGGCCCTGCTCCCCTGGACCGCAATGGCATCCTGGACACAAGCCTCAAACACTGGTTTCGAAACCGAGCGGGCCCACCAAACACTGACGAATTCCTTTACAGCCGACGACACAGCCACCAAAAGCGGGTCCCTGAGCCAGAGGCGGGCAGCCGAAAGAAACCTGAAGCCCAGGGAGGTGCCAGGAAGAAGAGGGCCCCAGGATCTCGCAGCTTGGACCCTGAGCTTATGGAGGGTGGTCGGCGGGATCCCCAAAATGTGGGACCCCCACGCAGCTTTAGCCAGCGCACCCACACGAAAAACTCTACTGTGCTTTTCACTTTGCCCCAGTTGACGAAGGGCGCGTGCGGTGCTGCGGGCAGCATCACATCTCGATGTCTGCGTGCCGACCCGCCTCGCCCTGCCGTCCAGCGAGTCGCCGCCGAGGTCACGGTGGGCGATGACCAGCTTGTCGTCCGATAGCTTCCACCTGGGGTCCTGTCTCAATGCAGGCAGCTGAGATTGATCGGACATCATGAATCTAGTCTTGTCCCAATTGATCGGCAACTTCCTCGAATCCAGCTCGGCGGTGACGATCTCGAAACTCTTGACCGTGTTCTCCACCACCGTCCTGGGGCCTCCGATGATATGCGTCGTCAAATCATCGACCACATTCAGAGCCCGACACGGAGGCGTTTCCTCAGCCAGGCGCTTGAGGAGGCACAGAGTCATCAGCTTCGCCACTCCCGTAGCCGCACTGCATCCAGCCACGATCGTACCATTCGGGTGACTGACTCTGCTCGTGCCCCCTGTCCAGCGCGCCCGCCGTGGTGCACGATACAGGCAGCAGAGCGCCTTCAGCAAGGCGCCGTCGAAATCGTAGTGTTCTGCTGCTTCACGCAGCTGCTGATGACTGACATTCTCGTAAAACTTGCGGATGTCGTAGAAAACAGTAATTGCCGACAGCTTCTTCCTTCTGGCGTAACAGGCCAGCATGTTATGCAAGTACGCCGCCTTGTCGCAACAGGTCGTGGCATCTTTTCCCCAGAAGAACTTCGCGTCCACAGACGTCTCCCAACTCTTTACATACTGCCTTCTGCATCTGCCCCAAATGCGTGCCCAGAAACACAAGAGCCCAATAGGCCGTGTGCCCCCACCAGGTTTGGGCAGAAAAACATTGATCGTGACCCACATGCGTTCACATTGCGGATTGCGCTCCCAACTGGAGATAATCTCCTGCAGTCTCCGCACAAACACCCCACCCAGAAAGGTAACCAGCCTCATGTGAAAGTTGTCCCAGCCAAGCCCAGTAGAAATGCCAAAGGAGCGGCATACCTTGACGATCTGGTCCTCCGATATCGGGTCAAGCTTCCACGGGTAACTCCAACCAGACGGCGCTGCCTCCTGGGCCCTATCGTCAGAGATCCACAGCTCTTCCCATTCCTCCAGCACCGCCGTGATCGCCGC